TGCCTTCTGGTAAAGAAATGATCTAATGATGCCTTAAGGTCTATCCTGGCTTTATTTTCTAAGATTCCAGTGTTCTAGGATATAAGGTTATCTCTAACATCATGTTTTTTAATATCAAAAGGCTGTCAGAACAATTTGTTCTAAAAGTCAGTTTTCAACAATGTAATAATTGTCCTTAGCCAATCTTTCTACCTATTATCCAACAGTTAAAGATTGATTTATACTGCATGGATGAACATATTTTCATTATTCGCTAGATTTTAAACCAGTTGAATGAAATGTGGAAGGAAGTAGCCTTTCTTTTAAAATTTATTTCTCTATACTTCTCTGAAATCTTATAAACCTTATGTCATTGGCTTTAAAATGTGGGGTTTTTCTCCTTGTTCTTATGCTTTTGTAAGCTCTCATCAACATCAGATAGCCTGGCACCAAAACTGGTATAAAGACAGTGATTTTGATTTGCACTAGTGACTACAGCAGCTGGACCTCATTTGAAACTCAGTTCACATTGTGACTTGATTATAAAACCAGCAATGTTCTCTATTTTTGCTAGATCATGAAGACAGTCTAGCAGGGGCTAACCTCAAGTTTTATCTTTACATCCGATCTTTGTTTCTGAAAATCAGTGAAATAGAACAATCAATAATTTGTCTTCCTTAATAGAATTTATTTCACTTCTGGATTAGGATTAATATAAAAACATTCCTGAGGCTTCAGACCCTTGCCATTAGATAGAAATTGCAGTTTTAGGAACCTGTCAATGAATGTACCATTCACTCCTACACAGAATGTCAAGTCAACCAAACAAAAGAAAAAAACTGGGAAGCTTGCTTCATATATTCAAAAAAATACATCTATTTTTACATTAAACATTTGAGAGTGGAGAAGTGATGCCAGAGAATGAGGCTTATTTTTAATATACTAGTTTATCCATTTTAAACAAAAGATCTCACAATACTCCCAAATACTTTTTTTGCTCAAAGATAAATAGCCTAATGACACTTATGGAATCTCCTAAAGTGCTTTACATCAACAAAAGTTACTGTCATAGGTGTTTGAGTGAATTTTTACTTCACTTTGAATTATTATTTATGTCATCCCAGGAGATACATGACTCCTCTACAATGTATTTTCATTAAGATTTAATAGGTTATTCATAATGAGTTGGCTTCTTTCTTTCTTTGCAGTTTTTCCCCATAATAGCACTTGTTACTCAAGAAAACCCCAACCCTGTATTTTTGAAATAGTGTGTGTCAGTGACACTTTTTTTTTGAGTGGAGAATGTATTTCCAAACTGTTAGCAGAGAAATACTTAGGAGATGATATCTCATAAAGGTTAGAGTACTCTCTATTTTTCATGTGGCAGTATAATAAGAAACAACATGACAGGTTGGGAGGAAGAACCTTGAAGTTGTAGCTACCTGCATAGAAATGAAAAATGGAGGGAAAGAAGTTGAGTAACCTTGCTCTGTCATATGTGTGTCATACTCCCAGATCAGTGATCAATTCTAGCAGGATACAGGCACTTGTTTTAGTGACCTCAACTTGCTAGTGCTGGTGAAAGTCAGTTACTGCTGCAAAGAACAAAAAGAAGAGGTGGACTGATGATAAATAAGAAAGAATGGAGGGAGAAAAAAAGAAAGCAGTTGGATAGAAATCTCAGCATGAGTCCTTGGAGAAGGACTGTTGGCCCAGAAAGTATCTTATTTGCTGTGGTTTTTTTCCTTTCTTTTTTTTCTTTTCTTATTTTTTTGTGTCATTTCATGAAGCTTTGTTTTTCTGACAATATTTCACATTTATGTACAGCCAACCATGTTTTCTGAATTGTAAAAATAAAAATTATTCTGATGAAAGAATACTGGAATTCAACACTTATGTGTTTCTAACAGAAGTCAAACAAAGAAATAATTACCAATATACACCAATACTCTGTAAAGAAAAGGAAACTTGCTTTGCTAATTGACTAAAGGTCATATCAGATATAAGATGAAATAGCCAAACTCTTATTCTGGGTTTCAGTAGATGGTGGGTCTTTTTGAACTAAATCATTGTTAGGGAGATGAGTGAATAACTAAGTTTGTCCCAGTTTTCTACATTGTCTGATCTTTCCATTGTGAGTTTGATCCAAAGAAGAAACCTTCTAATTGACATACTTTTAATGTGAATTCCATTTTAAAACAAGAAAGGAAACCAAAGAACAACTCCATATGTGAATATTTAATTGCTTTTTCTGTGTAAATTGAAAGCAAGCCCAAAAGGAGTGATCTAGGCTAATGAAACTAACGATTTCATTCAGTGTTTATAAAATTTATTAAAAACATGCAGTGATATAGATATAAAGAATAAAGGCATGAAGATAGATGTAAAGTTGAAAAGACAAATATAAAATAAACTCCACATTTCTTCTATAGTGGAGAGTTTTCTCCTTCCCTGTGTATCCTATGGGAAATCTCATGGGGAAGATCAAAAGAATTTAACAGTCAGTTCTAAACTCTATTTTGATGTCCAAGACAAGACATTCTAATGTCAATATTCTAAAATCCTTTATATTTTTAGCCTGCTTTAACTTTAGTCTCTAATTCTGTCTTACTTTTTATTTCAGCATAAACAAAGGTTTTCCACTTGAATCCTTTATACTGAACAAAATACCTGTTCATGTAATTCTACTTGCTGAATATAATCATAAAGTACTATACATGTTTGTTGGGTTTCTCTAACTGAGGAAATATGAATTAGCATGAGCAAGGGTTATAGTCTGCTTCTAAAATGTTCTTATGGGTGATTTGCACATTGTATCTTTGACTATCACTTGGTCTCCTCTCTTGTGGTTATTCCTTTTTTTCTGCACTCACTAAATATAAACAGCTTCATGTAGCAATGGGAGATACAGAGGTAAAATAAGTGCCAAGACCTTGGAAATCTATAGACACACACAAATGCATATCCATGTGCAAATATATATATGAACTATTTGCATGCAAAAATCAATACTGCTAAGATTTGTTACCTCTTCCTGCAAACAGCAAAACAGAATTTCACACAGATTATTTTGAACATGGCAAAGATCAGTTAAGCAAAAATATGGTTTAAATGCTAAGATGCATGAATCATGTGGAACTTGACTGCCTGTATCATGTAAGTGGACTGTTATCAATGCAAGGAGACATCTGTCTGTATTAATTTTGATTTATGTTGCTGACCTGTTTTGCCAAGACAAATAGAGTGGTAAATATAATAAACTAAATGTTTATTGTATGAGAAAACAAACAGTATCAGGATCTTGGTGAAGAAGTAAAAGCCCCAAAAGATATAACTGTCATCTCTCATAAAAGATTGGCTCAAAAAGCTGAAGAAAAAATAAAATTGTTTCTGGAAAAAAAAAGAAGCAGCAACAAAGGTGCATGGGTGGGGGAGAGGGTCAGCCCTGCTGGGGTGAAGGTTCATTTTGCCCCCAAAAGAGAAGCTCAGCAAACAGTGGCAGATGTCACCCTGACAGGGAAAGTGGCAAGCGGCCATCTCAGCTCTGCTTGTAACTTCTTTCACAGGAGTCAAGCTGCTTTTTCCACTCCATTCAGCATGTTTGTGAGTGCAGGGTTTGTTCAGAAGACAAAAAAGGGCAAGAGCTCTAGAATTCAATAGAAGGTCAGAATGGCAATCTTTTTTGCTGGGTTGGGCTTCCTTTTATGCTGTGACATCTGGAGCCATTACCAGAACAAATTAGAGCAATTCAAACCACCAGCAGGGAAAAGTGGGGTTTCTGTTTTTCATACAGCAGAGCTACAAATTTGAGAAAAGGAACTGGGGCTCCCGACTACTCAGCATAGCAATAGATTTGCTACACTTCTTTTACAAATTCATAAGGCAACAAATATAATCAGTGATTAAGCTAAAGATGTCCATCCTTCAGCACTGATGAGTTTGCACTTCATTTTCAGCTTGTTACAGCATGAAGTACTAACAGTTCCAAGGAGGCATGCTGCAGAATACAGAGCACACCTCCTTTTCCCCCGTCTGGCATTTTAATATCAGTGGCTAATGTAATTCCTTTTTATTCGAGTAAATAATAACACATATTTTACTTGTAGGTAAGGATGTAGCCTCCTTATACTATTTGGAACATTAAGTCAGTTACTGGTGTTAAATATTTTGAATATTTGTCTGTCTTTAAGCTTTAGTGTTCATATTCTTTTCCATTTTCCCCCATACTTAAATAGAACAAAATTCTTTCTACTGCCTGCAAACAGGAGAGCTGCACAGTTAATACATCTTCTAGGTACATTAGCTGCAGGCAAAACTGGGTCTTACACATGTAATCTATACTTGTTAGTGGGACTCTGTTCTACAGTAAAACAATTTATTGTGTCAGATTGGACTGAATCTCACTTTCAGGAGACTTTTACAGCTTTTATTGTTAAAATCTTTCCCCTGTAAGAATTCAATTTTCATTTCAATCTTATAAGCTTTTCTTTATAAAATATACCTTGCTGTGACCTTCCATTCAAGCAGAAAAAATGCATCTTGATGAGGTTGAGCAGAATGGTGTGTGCAATACCAAAGTCCCTGCTCCATTAATAGGAAATATCTGAATATCAAACATATTATGCTGCCCTCTGTCAACTCAGCATTTGTAAAAATATCCCCTTCAGGTGCCAGTCTCACCTTCAGACTGAGAGCCTGTTCTGACATGTCCCTGATATCTTGATATTGGGCTGATGGCCAGCTGATGATGCCTTTTACTTATAGTGCTGAGAGGACTTTGGGGACTTTATAGATTCATAGAATGGCTTGGTTTGGAAGGGATCTTAAAAATCATCTAGTTCCAACTCTCCTGACATGGGCAGAGACACCTTCCACTAGACCAGGTTGGTCAAAGCCTCATCCAACATGGCCTTGAACACTTCCAGGGACGGGGCATCCACAACTCCTCTGGGCATCCTGTTTCAGTTCCCTCAAAACCCTCACAATAAAGAATTTCCTCCTAATATCCAACCCCAACTTACCCTCTTCCATTCAGAAGCCATTCCCCCTTGTCCTATCACTACATACTTTTGTAAAAAGTCCCTCTCCAGTTTTCTTATAAGATCTCTTTAGGTACCAGAAGGACACAATAAGATCTCCCTGGTAACTTCTCTTCTCCAGGCTGAACATTCCCAATTTTGTTAGCCTGTCTTCATAGAAGAGGTGCTCCAGTCCTCTGATCATCTTCATGGCTCTACTTCTTCTTTCATTGCTTCTTTCAAAATGACTGATTACTATGTTTACAGAGGGCTCCTGATTAGATCTGTAACATAAAAAGTAAGCTATTGAAAATACATCTTTTGGAATACCACAGGTACACTATAAATAGAGAGGATCCATTTGTTCATGCTTTGATATTAGAAAGAACTGCACTCGGTGAAGATTGAGTAGGATTGAAGGATCTAAAAGGTGAGTTCCAGTGACACTAAAATTAATCATGGAGTGACTCTTCTAACTCTGCCAATAATAGTAATTTTTTTTCTTTATTTTATATCCTCAATTACAATTTTTAATTTTCCAAAACAATGATCTCATGAAAATAACATGTATTGCTGTCTTACTTCATAGGGACATTGTGCAAAGTTTTCACCCTGTTGTGTATTACTTTTTATGTGCCACTGTTTTCTCGTTACATTATCTTCAACCAAACATGTTGTTTTCTCAGCAGAACCCTTGATACCGAAGGACATCAGTCATCAAACAGAACAAAAACATTTTGAAAAACTGTTGGGAGACTGGTAAGTGCTTTCCCATCATCTAGTTTGATAGAATGAAAAATATAATAATAATTAAAAGATAGAAGAAAACCACCAAATTTTTCATTACTGGTTATCCAGAGGACTTCAAACACCCTTTTAAGATGAAGACCTCTTTATATAGAGGTGATCCATAGTTATTAACCAACCAAATGGAATGTTTGTCCTATTTATGAAGTGTCTTGTGTTCAGTAAGACCCCTAAGTATGAGAGTAGAACTGCATAAAAAAGGTAAGCTACTCCCCTGAGGAGCAGGGAGTTTTACTGAATGTTCCTTCCAACTCTAGATACTCTGTGATTCTTTGGAGAGATTAGAGCTTGTATAACCTCTCTAAAAAAATGAATTCAAACCTGTTCTGATGGAATTTTACAGTAAATTCATTATTTTATGTGCTAACCCATAAAAATTATCAGAGCTGATATTTGAGACTTTGTCAACAAAACCTGCATCACTTGTTTTCTCATGAAAAGAATAGCAGTAAAGATAAATCAAGACTTTCACCGTTAAGTATAAACTAATATTTACTTGCCAGAATAAGTCAGGCTGACCATACACTTGCAAATACAGAGACCAAATGAAATTTACCTAGATATGATCTATTTATCCATTCACCCGATGCAAAGAGTCAAGTTACTAAGAGTAATTTACAAGTCAATTTATCACTATATTTGGCCCTTACCAACACATGCGATTACTGTGATGAGCAACCCGAATTATTAAAAGGTGTCTATGAATATTGTTTATTCAGAATTTGGCAAGCACTTAATGGATTTTAAAAGGTCTCTATGATTTCAGCTAAGTAAAACAGTTACCAAGTTGAGGAGTTCTTAGTACAAGCTGTAGCATTGCTTGTTTATAGCAACAAAAAGTTTTAGTTTCGGGTGACATCTACAAGAAAAGCCTATGTCCTTAATTGTCAGTTTAATCTAACTAAAAAAAAATCTTAACATACTAGATATGCTGTATTTATTTACTGACCTATACTTTACCTCTTTGAAAGCACTCACATAACCACAGTTTAGGAGCAGTGGCAGCACAAGCATATATAGGACTTTAAGAGAGTTCTATTTCACAGAGCATATTTTTACCTAGAGGCATTTACTTAATGAAACTATTTATTTCAGAGTCAATATTCCTTGTCTTTATTGTTTCATAGGAATATACAGATTCCTGCAGACTCCTGATAATTAATATCAGTAAGCCCTCAGGAAAGGAGCAAAACTATTTAGAGTCTCCTTTACACTAACTCACTTCATGACTTTTGACAGTGACAACTTCCTTATGTTTTAGGATGCTTGTTTTATGTATTTATTTCAAATTCAAAGTAGCATTCATTTTATTTTTGCTGCAAAAGAACCTACTACTTCCTGAGCATGCTGACAGAGTGTGAATCATATTCAAGGTTGATAATACACTTCGCTGTTCAAAATACACGTCAACTCAGATAACACTTTATTAAGTTTTTTCATCTGGCCTTCCTCTGAGCTATTCCCCTTTAAACAGATGACTTTTAAATGCTCTGTAATTAACGTTAAACTGGTCTGGTTAGAGCAGAGGAAGAGATCCTGACATGATCGATATCACAACACTCTTTTCTACAAAGCTGAATCAAATGACCTGTGAAAAGTACTTTCTATTTTTATAGCTTTACTCCTTCATATCTAAAGACAGTAAGAAGAAAGTGTAACTTGGATCTAAAATGAAATGGCCTGTCCATCAATATCTAAAACTAAGATTCCCAACCTGAGTAGTTATTACAACTAGTAAAGCAGAAATACGACTCAACTGATGAATCACACTCAGATGATAATGCCAAAATGCAGGGATTGAAAGGAATGCATTTTATGTATTAAAATAAAATTATTTTAAGTTAACATTTATATTAATTTATTACTCATTCTTACTAGAACACTGTACTGCAGAGCTTACTGAGACATGGGATCATAGAATGTTTAAAGGCATATAGGGATATCATTGTTTATTACTAGACACAATTCTAAAAGTGTTTTCTTTTTGTAATCCCTCCCCCCACCCCCATTATGTACTCAGATTGCATTGATTCTCTCAGAGCAAACCCCAGCTATATGTGAGTTTCGTGTGCAGAAACATTTTTCTTATTCACCAGGGTGGATAACCAAGGTTATTGTGCATGTAAAGGTAAAGGCTCGTACAAAGCCAGGGCAGCAAATCTCAGCTGAGATATTCTGGGGCAGGTCACCTTTCCAAGGGTAGAAAATAACTCTCCTTTCACCCCCAGTACACAAAGAGTCAAGGTTTGCCTTCTCTAATGAATGAGAAACACATCCACCTGAACACAAGGCTTTTCTGCTGATTTGTTGTAGAAAACCACAGTAATGGTTATTAAGCTAACTCTCACAGAAAAGAAAAAATAAATCTGCAATTCTTTGTTCTGTATGTGCAGTGCAGCAGTCATACACTGTTCTCATAACAGTAGTCTGGCACAAAACCAGCCTACTTCCCCTCTGGTCTTACAGTCAAACATTTTGTACAGGCTAACAATAGAAAATGATTTCATAGGCACAGGGTCTGCCCTGAGCTCACCCAGAGGCTTGAAGTCATTCACATAAGCTCCCGGTTCCACTCAGTCCTTTCCCCCTTGTGCCCTTCATTGACATCCAGAACACAAACTATCCTGACTAAAGTCGTAATTTATATGAAGTTCTCTCTTGCCTGTAAATGAGAGATTTCCAGTGCCTTTAAGTACCTAGCTAAAACCTCACTGTGAAAAATTGGAATTCTGAGACACAACATAACAAAGCATTCATTTCCATAGTGGGATAAAAACATGTTAGCTTCTCCAAAATAGACAAAGTAATTTTATGTGTACACAAAGCTTACTACTTTTAAATGAGGCTTAGTCTTTGGATTTCAGGTTAATGTAGTGAAGGTGTTGAGTGATATGAAGAACCCCCCTAAAACTTCAGTTCTCACCTGACAACACACCTACATGAATGCAGTAGCGAGTCGCACAGGACCTACTTCTCAGACCTGACTAGGAGGTGTTACTAAAAGAGACTTATCTCACTTCAAGAAAAGTAAAATGAAAAGTGGGATTTTACAGGTACTAAAGCACTAGCCAAGGACTTAGGCACTTGATCTTATAATGTGATACCTGATAGAAACTGCCTCTTTTATGTGTCACAGAGGCCTTCTTCACTGCTCTCTAAATCCAGGAGCTGTGCACTGCCTGGCTGGAGTCATGAGTCTGGGGGAAATTTGTCATGGATATCTTTGGGTTCCAGACAGCCATTCGTTATATATAGTGGGTTCATACATCTATAGAAGAATGAGAATCCTTTTGCATCATGGTCCTTTGCAAATTCATTTCTCTCTTTTAATTTCATGTGTCAGAAGTGGGAAGGTAGAGCACAACGTATGTTCTATACAGTCAGTGATGTAGTGAAAAATTCAGATGATTAAAAACATGACAATGCAAACTTTTCTGAGATTAGTTGTCAGATCCAAGGGGGACCTAATAAAACTTTTCATCAAGGTTTTGTGTTGTTGGGAGGTTTTTTTCCTTCCTCTAGGTGGGTTTAGTTTAGTTTTTTTTAAGTCTGCCTATTCCAAGGAAGATGGAAAATCCAAAAGTATAGCTGGATGGCTACCTCTTTAAGGGACAGCTTCAGCCTACAAAAATAGTTCTGGTTTTAGCAAATAAGGGTATCATTTTATAATAATATTTCATAGACAGTATTTTCTTCCCAATTTCTTTGGCTAAAATTTTACAAAATAAAGAACATTTAGAAATGAACTGTGTCCCAGTGTGTGACAGCTAAATTGTTCCCTAACTGATTTGGAGACAAAGAAGGACTGAAACCATGACTAGATACCTTAAATGTATTCCTAACACAGATACGAGATTAGTCTTAATAAGTGGGGATGTTTTATCTCCCCAGGTTTGTAGAAGTAACCTGCAATGCTTACCTGAAGAGCTTTGTGTACTCTCCCTTCCCTTTTTCCTTCTCTTTCAGTTAAAGAAAGAGAAAAAGTAAACTTACATAGCACATTACCTTTTCCTTTGTAAGTTTTTATTTTAGCATGCTATTTGTTTTCTTCTCTTTTCCTTCTCTAGCATTTATTTATCTTCACCTCACTAAGAAGCTCTTAACTTCAAGAGGCAGAAATGGATGGGTGAACTGGTGATTATAGCTTGTTTTTCATCCCACAGCTTTTCCTCTGATTTTAATTTTCCAACATGGTTTTTACATAGTCATATGGCCTTTTACACAGCACTGGTACAGTAATTCAAATCCATTTGTAATATACTCCACAGCATTTTCAGTAACTGCTGCTATTTATAACAGCAGTTCATGCTATGTCTTTGGAGTTAATGTGAAACAAAAAGATTGTTGTTTGGTTTTTTTCCAAACATTACTTGGAATGATGGCTATTTTCCACCCAAACTGGAACATCTAAATGTGCTTTCAGATATGACATCCCAGTTTCCTTCACTCACACTGAATACTATCAAGTCATGAGTAC